TTGATTGATTGATTGATTGATTGATTGATTGATTGATTGATTGATTGATTGATTGATTGATTGATTGATTGATTGATTGATTGATTGATTGAAGGTAAGGCTCACCTGCTGCGTGCATGCCTGCACCAGGTTTGGTGGGAACATGTTTCTGAAATGAGGGAACAGATTTAGAGATGAGCTCCGATGGTTAAAGTCACATTTAAAAAAAGGTTTTTATGTTTCAGACCTGATCAGGTCTAAGAAGGCATCGGCAGGGCTGACTTGTTCGATGGTCCTCTGCTTCCCAAACTCTTCCTTGGATCCTTTTCCTGGGTGGATGATGAGGACGATGATGATCCCGACGAAGACTGCGATAACGGTGGTGGTCATGTAGTAAATCACAGCTCTCACACCCATCTTTCCTGAAGCTTTGCTGTCCAACGCTGCCATCCCTGATGAAGAGAAAGGTTTATTTACATGAGTACCTAAGATCAGTGAGGCCATAAAAGTCAAACAGTAGATATGAATCAGTTCTGTGTTTTAAAGAAATCATTCAGTAATGATAAATGTTTTGTCAGTGGATATTATTGTCACAAAAGTGTTTCAAAGGAATGAAGGAGGCTGAAAATAAGCTGACTGCAGGACGTTAAAGAATTTACTGCCACTGACAGGCTCAACGTGGGAGTTCAGTGTTTCAGCTTATCTTGATGGAAATTTTTCTTTGGAAGGAGATTTATTTAAGTACAATTAGAGTCAGAAACAGAATGTACAGGTCAGAGACATGAAGAACTTATCATCATAAAACTACTGGACTTCATTTCTTTATCAGGATAAATAAATCAGTTTATTAACAAATAAAGATTTCCTCTTTTTGTGCATTGTGACTAAAACATTCCACAGTTTGTTTGTTGTTGATTAAATAGTCAAATCTGTGATGATGAGTTTGACCTGTTATCAAACTGGAGACCAGCAGAGGCAGAACCAGCATCTGGAGCATCCTCATCAGAACCTCTCCTGGAAACGAGAAGTACTTCACCTCACGGTAGCTCATCTTGTATGGCCTCAGAGCGAAGCCCAGAATGATCCCTGCGGACAAAACAGAACCTGACTGAAGGACTTCTAAAACCCACCTACAAGACCAGCTGAGACCCGCCTACAACAGGACTGAAACCCACCTACAACAGGACTGAGACCCACCTACAACAGGACTGAGACCCACCTACAACAGGACTGAAACCCACCTACAACAGGACTAAGACCCACCTACAACAGGACTGAGACCCACCTACAACAGGACTGAGACCCACCTACTACAGGACTAAGACCCACTTACAACAGGACTAAGACGCACCTACAACAGGACTGAGACCCACCTACAACAGGACTGAGACCCACCTACACCAGGAGTAAGACCCACCTACAACAGGACTGAGACCCACCTACAACAGGACTGAGACCCACCTACAACAGGACTGAGACTCACCTACAACAGGACTGAGACCCACCTACACCAGGAGTAAGACCCACCTACAACAGGACTGAAACCCACCTACAACAGGACTGAGACCCACCTACAACAGGACTGAGACCCATCTACAACAGGACTGAGACCCACCTACAACAGGACTAAGACGCACCTACACCAGGACTAAGACCCACCTACAACAGGACGAAGACCCACCTACAACAGGACGAAGACCCACCTACAACAAGAGTAAGACCCACCTACACCAGGAGTAAGACCCACCTACAACAGGACGAAGACCCACCTACACCAGGAGTAAGACCCACCTACACCAGGACTAAGACCCACCTACAACAGGAC